GCCCACCTCGGGAGGCCGGGAGGGAAGCGAGGGGTGGTCGCCGGACCGCGGTTCCGAGCCGCGCTGGAAGCCCCCAGTCACCGCCCCTCCACTCCTCGGCTCGCTGGCCTCCCCCGCGGCTCTGAGGTCTCCTGCGCCTTCGTGACTCGCCGCTGGACCCGGGAGGTCGCCCCGCTTCCACTCGCCGGGCGAGGCGACCCTCGTTCCGTGGAGGCCCCGTCCGCGCCCCGGGCGTTTCCCACCCACTGCTCCCTTCTCGGCAGCTGGAGGGGATGGGCTGGTTTTCAGTCCCCACGTTATTGTTTTCTCGGGGGTTAACAAAAATCGAGACTAGAGAGGAGCCCAGGCATAAAACCCCTTACGCCAAAACAGAGCGCAGGCTCTGCCGTGTAGGAACCATCCCTAACGCTCCGTCCGCTGCTCCGGGCCCCGCGCCGCTCCGGAAACCGCGCTGGTCTCTCCCGACTTTCAGGACCAGAGCCCAGACTTTCTTGACGGCATTTCAGTGGTGCCTTTAACATTCCTCTGTCCCAGGGCGGTCAAATTTAGGTTAGTTTTGTAAATAGTTCACAAGTTGTATTTTGTACTTAGATTGGTAGCCAAGAGCCATTCTTTTGTTCAAACTGATCAATGGTTTCAAAAACCTGATCCATTATCAAGTTCCCCATAAGCTTTTCACCTCAAAGATTTAGGTGTTATCAATGATTACTTGTTTACAAGTTGCAAAATGTTACTCTTCGCATAACTTTGATGAATTAAAGAAGAATGGTCCCTCACCAACTGTTTGCCTTGCAGAGGTCTAGAATCAGCCTTACCTCCTGCGAGCCCTGGTTCATTTTAATGGGAAATGGTATTTGAACATTTAGTGGTCTTTATAGAAAGAGAAAATGAGTTCATATTGTTATTTCCCATTAAAATTTAGAATTACAGAATATCTACTCTTTCATATTAGTCTCTTTTCCCTTACACTGTAAAATTCTCACTTCTAATTACGTTAGCATAGCTATTAACAATGAGTTAGATTTCTTTCGTTTTTTAAAAAATATAAACAAGGTTATATACTCACATTTATAGTCCCTTTCTTAAACAGCACTATACACCACCTCCACGTTTTCACTTAATAAGACCACCTCCTGGTATTATACAGAAATTTTCCTATACTTTTCACAGCTACGTACTACTCAATCATGTGGATTTGCCATGGTTTAATCTATTTTTAATAGGGTATATATAGTACTTAGATGACTAACATTTCATTGAGTACCTCTGACTTGTGAGTTAAGAGACCAAAAGGTACCAGAAGCAAACTCACTCAGGCTGATTGGTGAATGTGTAAGTTAGTATACAGTGGGTATATATACATACATTTGGAGGCTGGTGCTGAAAATTTTTTGAAAATTGCAAGTTTTCCACTGGCCATACCTATGACAAACTTTCGGGATGCCTACCTAGCCCATGATTACTTCTCTGAAGCAGGCTTCCCATTTAGAATGACCAGCACCACTCAAACCAAGGCTAGGGCAACAGTGACTGCTCCCTGGCCGGGAGAGATTGTTGCTCAGTTACTCTGGCCGATGAGTATTACAGTTTTCAGCATGAAGGGTATGCAGATACACAGAACTAGACATGAAGGAAAACCACCATAGTAATCACTCTTTTGAGCTCTTGCCATGTGCTAGATGCCGATCACTTAATCTTCAGTAACCTGTGAGGTAGGTTCTATTATTCTTCCTATTAAATAAGATATTAAAGCAAAGGGCCATGGCCAGTGTGGCTCAGTTGGTTATAGTAGTCCTATCAGGGCAAATACCTAGGTTGCGAATTCAGCCCCAGGTTGGGGCACATACAGAAGGCAACCGATGGATATTTCCCGGTCGATATTTCTCTCTAAAAAAGTCAAAACCAATAAACACATCCTCGGGTGAGGATTAAAAAAAGATATTAGGGCACAGAAAGGTTGAGCAGTTTATGTGGTCACACAGCTAGGAAATCAGAAGGCTGGGATTTAACCTCAGGCCTCTGGCTTCAGAGCCCATATTCCTGTCTGAAAGTTATTAGGAACAGAAGAAATAATATTAAGACCTCAATAATAAACTGATGATAAAAGTCTTCATTCTTGAACAACACCCAGATATAAAAGAAAACAAAGAACAAGATACCAATGTGGGAACATGGTTTTATCGTTTTTAAAAAATTTATATGCTCCAAAACATTTTATTTGGAAATTTTCACTGGAAGTAGGAAAACAAAAAAACAGCAAAGAACACCAGCATGAATACATAACACATACTTTAATTGTTGATACATTAAATGTATTCTAATACTTTCATAATATATCTCATTGTGTTAAAAAATAATACAAGAGCCCAGCCCGTGTGGCTCAGCAGTTGAGTGATCCATGAACAAGGAGGTCACAGTTGGATCTGGGTGAGGGCACATGCCTGGGTTGTAGGCTCAATCCCCAGGAGGGGGGTGCAGGAGGCAGCCAATCAATGATTCTCTCTCATCATTGATGTTTCTCTCTCTCTCTCCCCCTCTCCAAAATCAATAAAAATATATTTAAAAAATAATACAAGGGAGCATCCTTCTAGTTGCTAGATGGGACACTCCCTGGTTCATGAATCCATTAATAAGGCCAATGAGATCTTCAAAAAATAATACAAGAAAGTGATACTAGAGAACTATAGAATCCTGGATTCTATGGCAGATGGGGTATCATTATACAAGCCAGAAAACAGAACCCTGAAAGGTTGAGACATGATAAGCAACCTAAAACTAACATGTCAACCAGCTGTGGGTTTTAAATATGCCATTAAAGTTAATCTGAGAATGCTTCAGAGACATCTCACACTTTACTGAACACCAGAGAACCCACAGTGGGATTGGAAAGGAAGGAATGTCATTTTATTGGGGGATTTTAGCTATGACTCCCACCTCACTCTACGGTATGCAAAGGAGTAAGGGAGGCTTTAGTTATGCACCTTAATCAGCATGAAACAATTCACAGCAGCCAGAAACCCTATAAATGTAGCAAAGTGGACAGGCCCTTGTTCTCAAAGCCTAGCTGACATATGAAAACTTATACAGGGAAAGAACCATACATATTTAAGGATTATGAAAATTCCGTTAACATAATTTAAGTTCTAGTAAATATCAGAGAACCCAAAAGGAGAAACCCCAAGTGTAATAAGTGCACCAAGGCCTTTAGGTTATCGCTTAGCCCTTAGTAAAGCCCACACTGGAGAGCAATCCTTTAAATGTAATAAAAATGACAAGGTCTTACGTAGTGACTCACTTCTCATTGCAGCGACCGAACTTCCATCAGAACGAGAGACTTTATAAATGTACTGAATATTCAAGGCATTTAACAAAGGGGTGAAATTTGAAGACACAAATGCTAAAGTAGACAGGTGCTTAAAGGTGCCTTCTCAACCACCCTACAAACACCACTCCTTTCTAGTCACACTAGCCCCTTACCTGCTTTATTCTTCACAGCACTGGTCATTTTACACCTTGCTGGCTGGCTGTTTCAAGCCAGAACTCGCCCATGCAGCAGGCTACTTTGGTCAGCAAGGTGTTTAAAATTACTTAAATTAATGTAAGTGCAGACACGTGTTATCTCATGACCGGTCAGCAAGGTGTTTAACATGCTACCCATTTATTTCTTAAAGAGAGTTAACTTCCTCCAGGATACAAACTCTGAAAGAGGGTGTTTTACGAAACTCTGTGTCCTCAGTGCCTAGGACAAAGCCTGGCATGTTGTAGGCACACAGAAGGTGTTGATGAGTGGACTATAGCACTTTCCCTTATGTGGACTATATGGTACCTTGAAGTCACTTCATTCTAAAAGAAACAGGATTTACTTAGCAGGCTTTAACCCACAAAAATGTGTTCACTGTTCTGTAATACACTAAACAGCATTATAACTTATGGCCTACAAATTATCCTCCAATTGTGTGGGGGATGGAAAAATTGTACAAAAAGCACCCTATAGCACCCTCGTAACTGTACCAGCAATGAGACCCAAGTGGTTCACAAGGGTCATGAAGGCAAAATGGAAGCTCCTGGCTTTTGAAGAGAAAGTTCTCTTGTTTCCTTGGGTGCTAACTCTCATAACACTCGACTCTTGAGGAGCGATGTGCCTGTTTGCCTTGTCAACCACTGGTGCAGAGGGTGTGGCAGTGGGGAATCCAGTAGCAGCCACCCTTTTGTACAGAGCTTGGCACTTAGAACCACGCCTCTTATTAATTCAAAAAACTTTACTAATGGCCTACCACTTATTAAGCATTATGTATAAAGATAAAATTTTTAAATGTGGAGCTCGACAAGTCATCAAGAGAAACAATAAAGAATGTGATCCCTGTGATAACACGAGAGGGAAACATTACAGGAGCAAAAGCAAAGAAGCGTCTAGTTCCGACTGGGAAGGGCTGAAAAAAGCCTTATGGATACACCACCACTGGAGCTGAGTCGTAAAGATAAGCAGCTATCACTGAGCCACACAGAAGGACAAGGTGTTCCAGGAAGAAGTGATGCAGTCTGCAAGGATATTCAGGAAACACACAGCACATCGGGGAAAATGGGAAGTATTTGATTGGGATGCTCCAAAACAGGGAGGGAGGGCAGTGTGTGGTTCTAAAATCCATATTAAAAATTATTTAAATCTTTACACTTAGAAAGCATAAGGTATTTTCATAGTAAAACTTGTTAAAATGCTAAGTTAAGTAAAAATCTTCTTAGATGTATAAGGATGAGAAGGGGCAGAAACAAGGAGACTGTGCTTGTCCCAAGAGGCTCCATCAGAAGGTTTATGCTTATTGGAAAGGAGCCTGGGTCTAAGTGTTTGAGAAACACTGGGAGAGCATGACTACAAAGGATGAACGGCAGAGCTGGGGGAAGGGGAGGCAGGCAGAAACTAGGTTACAGTATTCTGCTCTGCTCTGCTCTGCGAAGATCAAAAAAGAGAAAAAAATGAACAGAAAAAGATTTTAGATGAAAGGGGAGGATTAGAGGTTTGGAAATATTGAATTTAAAATCACCATGGGGTGGCTAAGTGAAGATATTTAATAGGCAGAAGTAAGGCTTAGAGAGCAGGAAAGCGGCTGGGATTCGAGTACAGGTTTGGGCGTCAGCCTAACGAGACAGGTGGCAGAAGCAGCCTGGCTATGAATGACATCACATAAGGAGTATTTAGAATCCGTAAAAAGGAGGGAGGGGAGGGTAAAGAGAAAAAGGACCGCACCCTGGGGAAGATCAGCTCCTCCAGGGTGGGCGAGAGGGAGACCCAAGGGCGGCAGAGAGGGAAGCAAGAAAGACAGAGGCAGGAAAGGCGGCGGTTAGTCATGGGGAGGAAGCAGGCTCCTCTTTTCCTCTAAATAGCGGGAGGTTAGTAGGGCAAAGCTAGTAAATAGAAACTGACCTCACAGTCTCGGGTTTCTGTCAGACAGATAGAGCCAAGTGCTAGGGCAGGGAACAAAGCACCTGAGGAAGTCATGGGGAAACCTAACGGTTTACATCAACCCTAGGGGACAGAGAGGGGCCACACTAGTAACAAACAAAAGGCTCAGGCCCAGGGCTCCACTGAGGTTGAAGGTGAGACCCTCTGGGTGATTCCACGTTGGGCTGCAAGCGCTTCGCATAGAAGTCAGCATCCAGGCAAGGTGAAGGGTGGGATTAACTCAACGTGGAGGGCTGGCAGGATGTGAGCCTGACCAGACGGCCTGGGCCTGTGGAGAGCACCGCATGCGGTTCCCCTAGGGCCAAGGCTGCATGAGGGAGGGACAACACCTGAAAAGGGCTGATAGTTTAGGAGAAAAGGGGGCAGGCAAGAGGAGAAGGCTGTAAAGAAGTGAGAGTAAAGGAGAAAGAACTCAATAAAAATGAAGAGGTGAAAAAGCTAGGCAGATGAGAATTACTGTCAGTTACTAAAATTGAGGATTTCAGGAAGAGAAACTCAGGATGGTGAGATTCAAGGCGTGGCCATGGGAGTAAGTCCGGGAATATGGTGAAGTCCTGGTGTAGAGGTAGACAGGCTGAAAGCAAGACAGCAGTTAGGATCTCGGGGCTTTATCATTCATCCCTACTATTAAAGACAAAAACATATAAACATTTCAATACATATGAAAAGATGTGCCTTAAAGACATATGAGTTAACAGTGGACTATGGGTGGATCAACCTAACTTGGTTTTTACCCTTACTACTTATTTGATAAACATGCATATTCTTTTAAACAAATTAGGAAAATCAATTTAAATTTTTATAAACTGTCTAATAGGAGGGATAAAAAATTCAAATGTCATTAGTAGTACATGTTAAAATAATTAGACAATTCTTTTGTGAAGTCTTTCATTATTTATCTCATTCTGGCAATGGAATCTCAATATTCATCATAATTTTGTCAATATTTATATCTGTAGAATATACCAAAGCAATGAAATGACCTGATTTTGACCTTTGAAGCATAGCAAATTTAAAGAGACAGAAAAATAATCTAAAGATAATTAAAATGGTCAATTTTATGTTATATTTTACCATAATGAAAACATAATTTGAAGCTCAGTTGGTTGGAGTGACATCTTGTACACCAAAAGGTGGCAGATTGGGTTCCATTCTGTCAGGGCACATACCCAGGTTGCAGGTTCGATTTCCAGTCAGGGTGGGTGTGGGAGGTAACATCAATGTCTCCCTACCTCCCTCCCTCTAAAATAAAAAATAATAATAATCTGAAGTAACAGAAAAAATCTTTGTAAAGGTAAACTGGATTTTTCCTTAGTATAGTTACAGGAGATCTGTAGTTCAGGCTGAGTTAGAATAACATACATGCCATTTTACAAATGAAAGAACTGTTCCACCATCGGTTTAAGAATATATAACGAAATACGGTGATGGCATTGTAAAAAGGGTGACCGCGCTGGACATCTTTATGTAGTGTGACATTCTTAAATTGGGTGACGATATGTCTTCTTCCCTGGAATGTTTCCATTTCATGGGTCTTTTCGTTTTCCTGTTTGAAAAGCACTAGATAAACTTACTACTAATTAGAGCGATGCTGAAGGAAGTTTAAAATTTGCTTAGCATTTGTTGTGTTCCATTCTTGTTCTTTCAGGGGTCCTTCACACACAGATACATACTTTTTCAAAATTTTTTCCCCTACTTCTCGGAAATCCAAGGGTTCTTTGCATGTAGTGTAGCTTGCCCCAGGAGCCCCAGTGTTCACATCCTGGCTTTCTGGTTGTTGATCTGCACAGTGCTTCAATCCCCAGTAACACATCTCTCCACTGTACATCATTGCCAGCAAGTGAATGTCACTAAATATTCCTAGGAAAGCCATTTAGGTTGAGAGGTTAGAATTTAAAACTTTAAAAAGAACTCTGATTAATAAAACTCTAATAAGTTCCTTTTATGTCATCGATCATCTTTCCTTCTCATTTAATAATTACACTTAGAAAAGCCAACAATCACTAATACAATCCTCATTTAATTGGCACCTCTATTTTATCTATAAAGAGCTGTATTCACCCACCCCCCCAAAAAAAACAGCACTGTCAGAGAACTTTTTTAACAAATCACTTAGGTCAGTGTGTTCTTAACCTTTTTGGAATTCTCTTTAAGGCGGCCTCTTTGAGGATCTAATCTAATCAATGGACCCTCTCCTAGGACATACACCCCAAGTTTTGTACACAACTTCAGAGTACTCAGAGTCTCCCTGAAGGCCATCATGAACACAGCTTTTAATTTAGGATGCACTGTAGAATCAGTGTTCCAGTTCCAGGCAAGTATCCTACACCTGCTACATCTCTACAAGAGTCTACAGAAATTATCCCACATAAACATGACCTGGAGAGGCCATATAATTCTACATTATCGAAGATGTTAAATTATATCTAGGATGCATTATGTTCCCAGGAAAAGGGAACACATGCAGAATTCTCATCAAAAGTGAAAGCCATCTTATTATGGAGTAAACATTTGTGGCACACAAAGTGTATTACTTTGGTAGAAAGACAAAAAGACCTAGAATCAAAAAGATCTGGGTATACATTATTGACTATGATATAAACTATATGACTAGTATGTTGTATTTATTAAGTGAATACTGTTTTCTAAATAGAAATCATAATTAATATAGTATTATACTATAGTACTTCTTAAAGCCACTAAAATAAAAATTATTTATTCTAATGTACAGGTACTTGTGTGACTGGAAAAGTTTACCTCAAATAATGAGCATCATAATCTTAGTTGCTCACCTAATATGGCTCATCAGAAATGATGATGATGGTACTAGAGACCCCAAAATAGAAAAAAATTTCAACTTTCAACACTGTCACAGTTTCTATCATCTTCACTCTATTGTAAGCTTTTCATAGTCTCTGAATTTGTCCCTAGAGCTCTCCCCTTCATTTCACCTCAAATTCTGCTTACAAATAGCAAGAGAAGGAAAGGGTTCAGTAGAAGAGAGTAGACGCACTAAACTGTTATAACAATAAAAGAAATGGTCATTTAAGAGCAGAACTTGACGCTTGCATTCATGAAAATGATAGACAATACTACATTAATTATGCTTTCTATTTAGAAAACAGTATTCACTTAATAAATACAATATATATTATACATAATCATTTTTTACTTTATTTCCTTCATACTTATATTATTATAAACCTCAGAGAAAAAGCTGAACGCAGCATTAGGTGCTATTCAGAATTATATTTTGTATTCGATTCAGCATTTCACTGAATGCATAGCCTTTTTGTTTCTGTGATCCTACATGCTGCCTAATTGTTCCTAAAAACGCTGGTGGAGGGAAGTAAGGAGACAGAAGCAGAAATGGAGGGAAGGTGGAACTTATATGCAGGCTGAGTTTTGGGAGGAGGAGCTGAAGTATGTCCCACAGAGTGAATCCACTTGGGAAGGGTGGGAACATCGGCCTAAGGGAGACCTGGGATCCCATCCATGCCCAACTCCAAATGAGCCTCATTCTTTTTATTAACAAGGAGTGACTGCCGAGCAAGTGCACAGACATCCTACAGGAAGGTTTTACCATGGACAAGATGAATGCCTATGGTAAAGAGAGGGCCTCAAACTTTAGCCTGCTTTAGAATTACCAGGTGTGCTCAAATGCTGACTGCTGGGCCCCCACATCCAGAGTATCAGACTCAGGTATGGGTTTGGGTCTATGAATATGCATTTTTAACAAAGTCCTAGGACCTAGGGTGATGCTGCTGCTGCTGGTCCACAGGCTATGCCAAACCACTGCGTTAAAATATCCTGCATTAAAAGGATGAACAATGTAAAATTAGGCACTTTCTACCACTCTACTCACCCAAGGAATCTACTACTCTGTCGCTATAGTCTTTTTGCTGCTACAGATTTTCCTTACTTTTTTCTTTTTTCTGTTAATGCTCAGCATGGTTTTTGATAAACTACTTCATTTTGTACTGCGCATGTCCTAAGTGAGCACCTGTGACAGTGGGGAATAGAGAGGGAGAGTAAGTGTGAGGGCAGAAAGGAGACTTTCACATTAAAAAGGTGAGCAGACTGGCATCCCTAAGAGCAGTGAGGTCTCAATCTGACTGCAGCATAATTATATGAGTTTATTAAAGATTCCTGGACTCCATATGTTGAATTAGAACCTGCATCTGGCACACAGAAACCTGTATTTTTAACAAGCTACCCAGGCAATCAGCGATGCCAGTTCAGAGCTACTCCTTTAGGGAATCTGAAGTCCAGTTGCTGGGTTAAGCAATGGGCCAAAGGGCAGCCAGGAGGGAGTGATCCTCAGTGGTATAAAAAGGGCATAAACCAAGGGTATGCAAAGCTCAACAATATTTGATTTAACCTATTTAACTCCAGGGTTATTCTGACAAAGCTATTTCTATAAGGACACACAGAGGAATGAGGCTCAGAGATGAGCTAAAGAGGTTTACTGAATACCTGGTAATACTCTGAAAATTTAATGACATACAGGTAATGTTCAAAGGACATAAGATCATCTTACCTTGGAAAAAGAAAAAAAATCTCAAAACTGTTTTGAGTTTTATCTAAATTCCAGTAAATTATCATTAAGATCTGTCCAAAAAAGTATTTTGATGACTCATAGAACTTTTCCCCCTACCGTGGTGTATTGAGGGTTTTCAGAATTATGTTTTATATTGGCTAACAAAAAAATGGAAAAATAATTAAATGTCTCTGATGGGGTCTTAGAAGTAATCTAGCCTATGAAAAGTAGTCTTGCTGGTTTCTAGCTAACTTGAGACATGAATTACAGAGCAAATAGCTTTAGATGAGAGCAAGAAGCCAAGAGCAAGAGAACACTGCACACTGGGTCAAAACCACTATAGACATAATATAGTTTTCTCTGTTTCTGGAAAAAAGCGACCCTCTCGGTCCCTTTTGATTCTCCTGTTGTAGAAGCAATAGAAGCTAAGGGCTAGTGAAAATCATGATCTAAGAGCAGACACCAGTGCTTGACTTGGGGCAGCGAACACACAATACAGTATACAGGTGACGTGTTGTAGAATTTTTGTGCACCTGAAACCTGTATAATTTTTTTAACCACTGTCATGCTGATAAATTCAATTAAAAATATGAGAAGATACCAGTATCACATGCATTTTGAAGAAAAAGTTTCAGGGCATGAGGGTATCTTACCTTATGACTAGAAATGGAAGGAGGGAAATAGGTGGCTTGTGCCACTTTCTTTGGTTCTAAATAGGCTTTAGTGCTCACCCCTGCTTTTTCTTTTAAATTAATCCAGGTGAGTGCATAAGGAGATTTAAGAAAAGCCATTTTTAATGCAGCTAATCAGCTCACTAGTTATCTGGAGTAGATACTTCCCATAAATAAATCAAAACACCCTGGTGGTCAAAATACCATGCCCACTGAAGGAGCACTTTGCATTCACAATAAAGCTTTCTTAGGACAAGCTATTTGCCTGAATTAACTGAAATTAAACAATTTTAGACACCACTAGCCAGTCATATATTAATGATACTTATATCATGCTGTTTTTCCTATGCAATGTTTTTTAATAGAAAAAAAGGCCTACAGAGCTAACAAAGGAGAATTAAAACATACCTATAAAGTAAAAAAATAGACTATTCCCTAAGAAGTTTTCTTCTTTTCCCTATTTTTGATTTTTCTCCATCAAAATTTCTGATGAAGTGTAAAAGAAAGTTTACACACATGACCATGTACTTCACTTGCCAGTGACGTGACCATGAACAGGTGTACCTGGTTTATCAGGACCTCAGCTCCTCTATTTGTAAGGAGAGATGATAAAAACAAGTGGTTCTCCCCTCCAATCAATATTCATTCATTCTTCCTTTCTTTCTTAGTAAAGAGGCTTAATTTTATTTGGGATGGAATGCATAAGCTAAAGGACTGTACTTTCTTGGTTCCCTTGTAGTTATACGAATCCATATGACTCAACTCTGGTCAGTGAAATGTAGGTAAAAGTGTTGTATGTGTTATAAGCTTCTGAGAAGGTTGCTCCAAAGGAGCAGACTTGGGTGAAAGACACATCCTTTGCCACCCCTGCAGACTGAAACAAGGTGAGATGGAAGGTGCTCCAGGAGCATGCTGGAATACTGAGAATGGAAGCATATCCTCACAGGGATGCATGCCACACAGCATTGGAAGTACTGCTCACATGCTAGATAAAGAGCCTCCCTCTGGAAGCTGAAGGGCTCTGGGTCTAAAGATGATGAAGGAAAAAGAGAGGAACCCGATGACACCATGGAGCCAACATAACCCGATCTTTTTTATGTGCAAGAGCAGTGAAGTTCTATCTTGTTTCAAAGTTACTTCCATCTGTTACAAGTAGAGAAACCCAGTACCTGATCTGGGGTATGGCGGGATGTAAAGTAAGTAAATGTAACCATGATATATAACGCTCCCAAGATTATAAAACAGGTTAGCAGTACTTTTCTATTATTACATGAGAAGATCTTTGAATTTTTAAAAGCTATTTTATTATTTTTGTCTATGATGTAACGTGAAATTTACTTAGAGTGAAATATAAACTTAAAGCTTTAAAGACAAAAACTTCAAAAAGAGATCACATTACCTTCACTCAGTAACTTAGCTGTGTCTAGGTCTTGGAAAGAAACTCCTTCATCTAATTGGGTAGGACACCGATAATTTAGCATCTGTAGCAAGTAACTGATTCCATCAACAAGGTACTAAATGAAAAGCAAAGCCAAAGAATTGAAAATATTATATGCAGAGCTATAAAAACTTCAAATGTTAATTTTTCCCCCATTCTCTACTCAAGAAAAATGGGCTAACATATAGATGTGTGGTATGGCTATTACATTTCAATAGTCTAAGAATCCACTACCTCAAAACTTTTATAATATATATTACGAAGTATCATCCTTCAAGTGCCCAGTTATGAGTGTGGAAGAAAGAGATCATTAAGCAGGAGCACATGACTCAGCAACACCCTTATCAAAATGTTCTCAGAAGGAGAAATGATAAGGACATGCTCAACAGCTGCGCATCAGAAGTATCACGCACTTACTATAGTGTAGAAATGATATGCTCAAACTTTCACCTAAAGGTGAGACCTCTCGTTTCCAGGCCCACAAGAGCCCCGTGCACAACTGACCTGAGTTAGAATCCCCAGTGATGAAATACTAAGACCGTTGTGAGATTTATTATTTGGTCAGAGAGTCAACCAAATCAGAGCCACATTTTCTAGCAGCAGGGTCATGTGGGTTCTTCAGGAGTGATTTGCTGACAGAGAGGCTCACAACCATGTTTGTTTTCTCCAGGCCAAAAATATGGTTAAAATCAATATATACTGTCTCCCTTATATTTTGAAAAACAAAAATTGTGAACTTAAATTTGCCAGTAAACAAAGGATTTTCACGTTATCGTATTTAATCTTCACAGTAAGTCCAATTTGTTTACGATCACACAGCTAGTAAGCAAAAGCCTGGAACACCAACTCTTTGGCTCCAATAGTCTTAATACCACACCAAAGGCAGCTTTTAGGAACCTATAAATGTCAACAACAATCAGAAATGAACGAGGAATGCCTTTTTACCTCTTTAAGCAAACCAGCTTTTCTCGTGAGCCACTCTCTCCTTTTGGTCAGAGAATGACAATACATATAAAGTAGGGCTCCTCGTCGCCAGGAGAGACATTCCAAGAGTTCGTCCCCAAGCAAATCGCAGTGCTGAAACACAGCAAAGACACAGCTAAGAAGAGAGGCTTGATGACTGTAAAAACCAAAGTTAAATTTCAAAATAATGAGAAATTAAAAACACTCTCATTTCACAACATTGGCTCCTCACTTGGCTATTTATATAGGAATGCCTTACTCTGAATCAATTAGAAATACAGAAATCTATTGCTACATGAAAATTAAAATAACTACTCCATTTATAATTTTTAGAAAACAGCTTAAATACTTTAGTAGCAAATTCTAATATATCTGAAATATAAATATTCCATAATTTGATTAAAGATAACTTTTCAGAAATACATGTTACTTGAAACAAGATTTTACCTATTTCTACCACTGCTAGAATACAATAATAAAAATTTAAATCAAACTTTTACTGTGTGTGTCATTTAAAATTTAGGAATATTTGTTTCCACAGTTAGCATCCCCCCATAAACACATACAGCACAAAAGATATCTAGGGGGAGATAAGCAGCAGGCAGTTAAGAGAAGAAATTAGCCCGGCTGGGCGTGGCTCAGCGGTTGAGCATTGACCTAGGATCCAGGAGATCCGGGTTCGATTCCTGGTCAGGGCACAGGCCAGGGTTGCGGGCTCCATCCCCAGTTGGGGGTGTGCAGGAGGAGGCCGATCAATGACTCTATCATCATTGATGTTTCTATCTCTCTCTCTCCCTTTCCTTTCCTCTCTCCAAAATCAATAAAGATATATTAAAAAAAAAAAAAAAGAAGAAATTACTCGCTTTAAAGAGTAGCCATGGCTGGAAATAAAAATCTTGGAATCATCTAAAGTAAGCATGATGTTGTAAAGCAAAGACAGAATAGAGACTATCAGAGGATTAAGGAGATATCCTTGGGAGTGCCTGTTCCCAGAATGGGAGAAAGGGGAGATGCCGGGCAAGAGCAAGAGCAAGGCTTGTCAGGGATGACGAGGAGAAGCATGCAGGGTTGGGAGGGATGGGTTGATCCATGGGAAGAAAGGTGGCAAATGTCCAAGAGGATGAGGACTGTGAAACGGGCAAGAGGTGTGGTAATTAAATTACTGGGGACCCTCGAGAAAATGCAGTATTTGCAAAAGTGAAGGGAGCAGAAATAGCAAATATCTGTGCTTAGAAAATGATCAGGCACTGTAATTACAATTCCATCATGCAAATGTCCTGAAACATATTCAGTAAAATATAATACTTTAGGTGTGACAATGGTCTGAAGTGTTAAACCCTCATAATCCTTCCTTCAATCTTCATTTAAAACAGAAACGAAGACATATTCAAGAAGAAAAAAATACAGACTCTAAAGAGTAGTCCATACAGCAAGAATTAGCAGCTTCACCACCCTTCATGAGTGTAAAACTTACTTTGGGATGTATATTATTCTCCTTAACTAAAATTTCTGGTTCTGAAAGAAAAGTGATCAGCTCTTTTACTTTCTGTGAAGAGTCTTCAGGAAAATCTTCATCTACTAGCTTGTTCTCCTCAAAATAGGTCATGTCCAAAATAGCCTGATGATGTACAAGAGAAACCAGATATCTATAAATGATTTCAACCTGAATGAATAACTCTTACAGTTTAACTTTACATATATGTAGATGTTTTATTAGACATTTAAGTTTTCTAGCACAGTATTTAAATTTGAGGCCCTGTCCAGCTAGCTCAGTTGGTTAAAGCATTGTCCCGATACACCAAGGTTACAGGTTCAATCCCCGATCAGGGTACATACGAGAATCTACCAATGAACGCGTCAGTAAGTGGAACAACAGACCAATCTCTCTCTCTCTTCTCTCTCTCTGAAATCAATCAATCAATAAATAATTAAATTTGAAAAGTAGGCAAAATGTCTAACTGTAAACATAATCTGAGATGAATTTTATTATTTTACTAAAATACTAAATTAATATTAACCTTCCTTCAAAACGTAAAATGGAGTTTTATGTTTTAATTAAGGTGAGAAATCATATACAATATTAATTATGAAAAGTAAAATTATATTTTTTGCCACTTATACATATATAGGGTGTCCCCCCAAAAAAGTATACACATACATTTTTTGATAGTTCAATTGATGTTTCTTCCTTTTCAGATTTAACCCATTGGAATTAATAATTATTCAAAGTGTGTATTCATTTTTTGGGACATGCTGTATACTGTGAACATTTTCAAAATGGCTGGTGTATCAAGTTAAGATCACTGCCTCTACTTTTGTAAACTGAATCTTCAAAGGATTTATTTGTTTTCCCAAATGCAGATTCAACATTTGGGGGACATGCATCCTGTCGCCCAACAAAGGAAGCATATGACCAACATTATGCAATTCAAACACTAAGACCCCAGCATTCTTAAATACAAGACGCTCTGTTCAAGTACGTTAAAATTACCGAATCCCCTTTTCTTGACCTATCGGATTAAGATGAACAAAACTGTGTTCTAGTATCAGTTCTACCACTAATTACTTGACTAACCAAAGGACAAGTCAATTTTATGTTTTTAAGCCTCAGATTCTTCATTGGTAAATGAACTGGACTAAATGACTTCCAAAGTTCTTTGCTCTGAGTGTAAAATGAATTACCATATGTAAAGCACTTAGAACATTACCTAGAGCACGGAACTACTTAGTGATAAATGTTTCCGTGTGGAAGGCTTAAGCCAGGAAGGATTTGGTCACCATCCTACGGAAAATGACCTGTTGATTCAGAACCAGGGTCGAAGGGCATCTGGGGAATATAAATCTACATCTCTAGGGTCTTTTGCCTTATTCTTAGAAATAAATTAAAATGTTTAGAACTCTCTCACGTGAAAGAAATGAGACAAGCAGGAAGGCTTCTGAAATAAAAGAAAGCCAGGCCAAGTTGTGACAAATTACAACAGCTCTTTGGGGTTAGTGAGTAGTTGTTACAGGCTCATTTGACCATGAAGTTTGAAGGCAGAAACCATCATATGTTCCTCCTAATAGCACAGTGCCAGGAATTTAAATGCTGTAAACATGCACTGTGGAAGCTTAACTAAGTTTATTCTACTTTTTTTTTTTTTTATTAGGTATTGGTTTCAGGTATACAGCTTAGCGGTTAGACAATCATAAACTTTACAGAGTGTTCCCCTCAATATTTCCAGTACCAAACTGGCACCATACATAGTTATCACAGTATTAATGACTGGATTTCCTATGCTTTACTTACTTGCCCGTGACTACTTTATAGCTACCAATTACTCTACTTTCCATAACTACTTCAGTTGTATTATCCCCGAGCAATCAAGTAAGGGTATATGAAGCTCTCTACTAGCTATAAGATGCTATATGAATGTCAGTTACTATAATGAAATAATGTTTAATGTAAACTTGTCTCAACAGTGTTTGAGAAAATCAAGAGAACAGATCTTGTCCATACCAAGGCCTGAAACTGAAAGCAAAGTGAAAGAAAGAAGGAGAAAGGGGGAACAGAACAATTTTAGACTTGCATGACAATAGCACGGGGAGTCACGCAGAGGATCCTAAGGAAAGGAGAATTTCAGGAAAAAAAATAACTGGGGCTCTTTAGAATCCTCCATTTCTTCTGAATAACTTTTAAGACCTTGGAAACTGGATGTAGTCCTGTTTTGCTTACTTACCTACAAAGGGAAGCAATTCTGTTATCTGCAAGATTTTATTCCTTACTTTTCTTATCAACACACATCTACCAAATCTTACTTCTCTGCATATTGCCTCAAAGTTTCAATTCTACATGCTTTATACATACCGTTTTGAACAAAACTAAACATTTTAAATAGAGAATTAACTGTTTTCGTTATACCTAAACATTGGAATCAACAACTTATTTAAGCAATCTGCCCCCATAACATGTCAGAAAATACATCTGTCTCAGTACCTGTGTGTAAAGTTCTAGTAGATCTGATGGACTGGAACATTTTTTGTCTTCTCCACACAAGAGTTTCAATTTTTCTAGAGCTGCAGAGGCCCGAATTAAAAAGTGATCTGTAAGAAATAAAAACATGGTGATTACTTCATATAATTTCAGACTTTATTTAAATAAAAAAAGTTATGTATCTGAAATGATTAAATAAAATTGATACGGCATTGGAGAAGCAGCATGATAGTAATAATGTTATGTAAAACAAGTACAACATAATGCCTAATCCTAATAAAGCTAATTTATCATGGAAATTTATTCTGGAAAGCTAAACTGAACGAACACTTTCTAGGCTCTGAATAACTTTCTAGGCTCAGTTGTCATTTCTTAAATGCAGTCTCTATTTTCATATTGTCTTTCATGATACTGAAGCGCTCACAATGTTTAAATAATAAGTTAAAGCTTTTACTGGAATAGTACAAATATATATCAATCTACAGAAAGGGCGTCCACTGGCCCGGCTGGGCGTGGCTCAGCAGTTGAGCATCGATCTTAGGATCCAGGAGATTTGGGTTCGATTCCTGGTCAGGGCATGTGCCCCAGTTGCAGGCCAGGCAGCCAATCAATGACTCTCTCATCATTGATGTTTCTATCTCTCTCTCTCCCCCTTCCTTTCTTCTCTCTGAAATCAATAAAGATATGTTTAAAAAAAAAAAAAAAAAAGGGCTTCCATTGAAAACTTAAAATTTCATAAATGTATTTTCCAAAAGAACATGATTGATTAAATCAAGTGCCTCATAAAATGTCAGCGCTCGGAGCAATTACAACTTTATCACAGTTGTGTTTACATATTTATGAATGTAAATAGCAATTTGAATTAAAATTATATAATGCATCTGAATATTTTATTCCTTTAAAAAAACCTAGATACAGAACAAATTACTTCATCCTTTCAAAACCTAGAGGAGCTAGAACTCAAGGTTTCTAATATGCCTTCCTTCCCCCTGCACTGTCTCCTAATTTCTTCCCTTTCTTCATCACATTCCACTGGTTTCTATGGTTTCCCCTTTTCTCAGGAATTTTTCCTCCCTAACTACAAAGTGTCCACACCCAGGTGCTCTCCAGCTTTCTGTATTACCTCAAAGTCAGATATGCCCACCACAGAGACATTCAAGTCCCTGAGTTTGCCCCTCGGCGTTTCCTCCCTGAAATATATACCCTTTCTTCCTCCCTGGCCAATGGACAGAAAATGTAGCACTTGGTGCCAGCCCACCTGACCCAGGCCCATGTGATCCAGCCCCGGCACTTGCATAAGATAGGCAAGCTGTTCTGTGCTGGAGTGAAACACCACCGGGTTGAGTCATGTCTGTTGGCAATCATACGATGACCCTGTTTCCGCAGGTGAGGCCTAGCCCGCATCTGGACCAGATTCTGATTGCTGTGAGGTACACGATTTACCCGACTTGGCACTTCTTTCCCAGGGCCCTCATCTCTCCTCAGCCCACAACAGCTGTATCATCTATACCACCCAGGAAAAAAATTCTACTGTGAACTGAAATGGTGTGCAACATGGCACTCAGGGGCTTCTTTAGACGCTGCGCTAACATTTTCCTCTTAATCTGCAGGATTATTTTAAAAGCAAGACGGGCACTGAATTTATTAAACCGTCGCCAAAGATGTTTCTCACATGAATTCATGACAACCACTGAGGGCGATGAAATACTAGCTCACATTTTATTTTTAAATTTTTTATTTAGTTACTGATTTGAGAGAGAGAGGAAGGGAGAGAAACACTGACCTGTTGTTCCACTCACTCGTGCATTCACTGCTTGATTCTTATACGTGCCCTGCCCGGGGACTGACTCCTTTAGACTGGGTCAAACGGGGCTGGAGTGGGGCGGAGACTACCGAATAGCTTATTTATTTATTTTTCTGTTAGCAATAATCGCGCCCTGGGTCAGCCTCAGCGGTGTGATACTGCCACTCGAGTAGCTTATTTAGAACTCAGATACACTTGCAGGGGCTGTAATAGCCACTACGGGCCACGAACGAACTATTCATGTGAATCCTGGGATTCACTCAGCACACACCGAAAAAGAAGTGCGCTTCGGGGAATTCCGCGGATTTTGAAGAACATACTCCTAAGGAAAAATAATTCGGCAAATCATCTTCACTAGAACTAGAGCTATCACGTCACAGACCCTACTCAGGACATTCACATTCACCAACTATTTATTCAATCACTTGGGTAAACGTCCCACCACTATCTTCCCGTGAGCGCGACGACAGGGAGTCCACGAGGCTTTAAAAACCGATCTGTGCTGGGGTACAGGCTCAACACGGCGGCTGAGAAGTAGTGAGCGAGAACTGGACTTGAAATCAGAAGTCCAGGCAATCGCCTTCTTTTTTGTTTTGCTTAAGGAGACCTAAACTTAGGCGTTTCCAAAAGAAGTGTCCTCATCCCGACAGGGCCCCCGTAGGAACCGCGGTGAAGGATGCGAGAGACTCGTGCAAACGACACGGGCGGGCGGAAAGCTCTGCCGCCGACTGCTGCTGAGAGGCGCGTGTGGAATCCCAAACGGGACAGAGAAGCACCAGGCGCAA